GTTTCCGCTCTAATGCGAATTCCCTTTCTGCGTAGTGGACGGAAACTCTGCTTATTGCGCTCTTGGAATTTTCCGAAATTATTTTTTGCATTTTAGATGACTGGCTTCATCGAACGATGGAAGAAAGTGCTGAGCAAGTATGAGGATAAAATAGTCTTATGAATCGGACTCACCGGCGAACGCGAAGCCGGAAAATGGAAAATGGAGGGCGGTGAGAAAGAAGGGAACGAACATGGGGTTTGCGTCCATCTTCGCTTGCGCGGCGAGGGAGTGGCGCTTCGGGGCGACACGGAATCTCTTCCCTGTCGTCTCCGGGCTCATCAATATTTCATGAGGCCAGTCTTTGCCCTTGGCCGGGGGTGTCGCCTTCAAGGACGAGTCTCTCATAGAGTGTCTCATACAGGTAGAATGAACGATGGACGCTTTCCGCACTGCAAAAAAATTATCAGAAAATTCCGAATATAGCATAAGAAATGCTTTCATTGAAAGTATGGAAAAGGGAATTCCGCTTCTTAGCAGAAAGCATGTCTCCATTTACCGACTAAATATACTCTTCACATCCGAGATAATCTCAGAATTCATCCCTCCGACTAGTTCAAGCAAGGGAAGTTTCTCCTCCTTCTCCCGAAAATCCAAATTCTCATGGGAGTTGGCTTTTCTTTAAGTAAAGTTCTTTTGTGCCTCACTAGGGAATTCGTCAATTGCGCTCATTCCTAGAAAATTCTGCTTCTTACTCGGAATACTCCAGGAAAGGTCGAACTTCATTATCGTTTCGCAACCTGCCCTAATAAATCCCCGAGTTATTGGAGAATCCTTTTTGAAATAAAACTTCAAACGCAATTCAATCACGATCATTTCGAACGTCTTCCTCGCAGCTTTCGACGAGAACCACGACCACTGAGCGTAATGGCAGGGGATTATATACATTCCTCTCCATCCTCTTCCTCCCTATAGAGGTGTGGACCGCCGGCACCCAGGAAATGTAGACGATGATGGACGTGAAATAGGACTCGCATCGTTTCGTAGCAGTTCGATTCGCGACAGGGAGAAGAAGCTGTCGCGCTCTTCATTTCTCCAGTTTCCGATAGGGAAATACACATGAGAAAACCTTTGTCCTTGTGAATCCTTTCTTCTCTTTCCGTGGCATCTTGATGTCACGGACTTAGGAGATTTCGGGGGCTCGTGGGAGACCTCTGCCATACGGATCAGAAACTATAGGTGTCGGGTAGTTTCCTCAAAGGTGTCAATACGGGAAGGTGCGTTGAGATTTCGGGGATTTTTCGCGGAATATTTGAAACATACTTTTTCCGACGCGAAGAAGTTCGGATTTCAAACTTCGGTTTTTTAACCGTAATGTTTCACGAGGAAAGAGAAAAATGTTCCGCAAAGATAACAAAGGGAAATTTTCGAGGAATTACAGGAAAATTATTCATAAAATACGGGAAATCCAAGTCTATGTGCTCTTATTCGGAAATTTTTACAATTAAGGTCCTGAAATATTCGAAAGCTAGTCCATGGCCCGTACCAAAGCACGGAGGCATTTAAAGTCAATGCATGCGTGCATGGCCATGTGGCATTGCAGCACAAATGATCAAGGGGTGGTTGCGCTTCAGACTCCGATTTGCTTGAAACAATTATTGCATGCTGGGAATCAAGACTTATGAAAAAAATATAAAAATTTGGCTCTCTGGCTCTTACGGATCTCGAGATATGCTGCCCCAAACTTCGCCCCCTAGAGGAAAAGTGGCCTTTAGGGTTAAAACGCTATCTTTGGTCCTATTCGAGCTAGAGACGCGTTTTTGGAGTCTAATTAAAGCTGAGACCACGTAGAATCGCAATATTAAATGCATTTTCATCAGCATTTATTTGAAATTGAGTTATGCAATTTCCAAAATGTAAAATATATTGCAGAATTTTGCACGCAAATTATTAGCACTAAGATGCATTGTAACACCACGACCTTTCGTAACATTGTAGAATAAGGCAATGACAATTTAAGAACTAAATTTCAACTTCCTACGTTTTTTTTTAAACAGCTTAATATTAAATTCTAAAAGTCCGAAATTGCCTATTTTCACCAAATTTGGCGGTTCGTACTTCCTGCTTTAAACATGCAAACGCAAAAATTTAGTCGTCATCTTTAACGCCTGCATGCATGTACATTTCAGAAGATTCAGACTTCCGAATGGAGTTGCGTTCCTTCAAAGTGTAATATAGTTGTAACCAAGTGTAATGAGACTGTTGCATATGTCAAATGGCAGTGTTCATGCCTTCATTCAGTGTTCATGCAGCACCTTCCTGATGGAGAAACCAAATAGTTCATCGTTGCCCGAGCTGGTGTGCCTTCATACTTGTCCTTGCATATCATCACCACTGTGTTGAAATTCTTATTCTCACAATGACTGGGATTGGAGTTCGTATCCACAACGACCACTACATGTTGGCATATACCAAACCTTGCATTGAATATGGTTGGCTGTTCAGTAGCATATATGGTTTTGAAAAAGGAAACAAATTATAAATGCTTTTAGACTTCCCGTCGTATGTTAAATGTCATTGTTCATAAGTTGAAAGACCTTATATTTACATTCATTCTTGGCATGGACACTGCCATTAAATATAAACAACAGCCACCTTACACTTGGTTACAGCCATATTACACTTTGGTGGAACACAGTCTGAATCTTCTGAAATGTACATGCATGCAGACGTTAAAGATTAATGTGTTAAAGATTGCGTTTGGAAATCCATTAATGTGTTGAATATTGGTATTTTATTGCGTAATGCAAGCGTATGATGAAAATAGAGATGTTTATAAGTCAAATGTGAGATATGCATTGGTCTGGTTTCTTAACCAAGATTCCCATCGTAAGATATTCCAATCATAACCAAGATTCCCATAATTTCAGTTCGTTCGGGAATTTGGAGAATTCAAAATGTCAAAAAAAATACGCAGGCATGAAAAGTAAAAGTAAAAACATGAGTTGGAGTCATTGGCAAGTGCTTGAAGAGAGCTTTCATTTGACACTAGTTTCAAGTTTGTATCATGTTTAAAACAAGAAGTACGAACCGCCAAATTTGGTGGAAATAGGCAATTTTGGACATTTAGAATTTAATTTTAGGTTGTTTCAAAAAACGTGGGAAGTTGAAATTTAGTTGTTAAATTGCCATTGCCTAAGTCTACAATGCTACAAAAGGTCGTGGTGTCCACAATGCACCTTAGTGCTAATAATTTGCGTGCAAAATCTGCAATATTTACCACTTTGGAAATTGCATAACTCCATTTCTAATAAAGGCTGTAGAAAATGCATTTAATAATCCGATTCTACTTGCACGTTCTTGTCTGCCAGATTGCATCGAAATTCTGTCCCTCTGGGCTCTTACGGACACATAAGTGGAATGAAGTCATTTCCGTATCGTGTCAAAAACGTCGATAAACAGCTGAAAAAAGACCTAAAACATATGATCGTACGAGGAAGCGAATCGCGCGTGAATCATATTGATGTCGATCCCTCCCAAGTACCAAATACCGAGGCCGAAACTTCCAGCGTGCGCAATGCAAACGAGACAGATTCCGAACTCGATCAACGGTAAGCGAGACATGAGGCCTGAACTTGACCTTCCCAACTGCGTTCAACCGTTCATTCTTTTCCATCAAGGTTTATTTTTTCTCCAGCAATCGTCATTCAGCGAACAGAATCGAAATTCACCAACCATACACATGCACACCTTCGAAATTTTTCTTTAAAAAAAGGAATGCCTCGATCGGATGAAAGACAGTTCGAAGTGACGGAATCCTGCGAAAAGCCGACGAAACACCCCGGCGCAGAGGAAAGGACCTAAACGCCCGAATGAAAAGGGCATCCCCTCCCCGGCGGCGTCGCCTCGGGGACGCTTCGACTCCGGAGGAGTTTTGCGAACGTTCCGTCATTCTTTTCATCGGCTTCCCCCGAAATTCCTTCTCGTTATTGCAGATTCCATCGAATTCATCGCTCGTGAGGGACATTCATGGTGTCAAGCGATGATTTTCTCCCTGCAGATTAGCCTCGGCACTGACAATGATACATACCAAATCATAATAATATATGTACCGAACGCATAAATATGGTTAAATTAAGTTTTCTTTTATGCAGTTTTTTTTTCTCTTAGATGATTGGACTAATTTGATTGGTGATTTAGACAATAAGGCAGAAACCAGCAAAATCTGCTCATATTCAGCAAATATGCGGCTGGCATGTTTATTTATTTATTTGAAAGAAATCATATTTATTGGAGGTTCGATGCGCACTAGGTTTCAGTTCCTTTAAGACGTCACATTTTCTATTTGAGCAGAAATGATTGATCGACACCCCGAATTGAGACGTGCTTTAAAAAGACTGTGGGTTTTCCTTTGTTTCTCTTTTTTAGTTTTAAGGATGAATTTTGATGGAATCTCTTGAAGCGGGAAGTGAGGATCTTCGTTTTCCGCTACGTTGGTTGCTTCCTTATCTGTCAGTTATCCACATTTTGGATTCTTCTTAGAAGTTTGACGGGAATCGCCCCGGGGATCCGAACAATCGGAATTCGCCAAATCCGGTGGAGCTGCCCTGAGGACGGGCTCCCTGAGGGCGGGCCCTCTTACTCGCCAGCCTCGCGATATCGTCGTACAGCGTCTCCGGCAGCTGCTGGGGATGCACCCGCTTGTAGGGCTTCCCTTTGCGGTCGACGAGGAACTTCTCGAAGTTCCAGCGGATGTCGTCGCTGTCCAGCGGATCGTAGAAGAGGCGGGCCTTCTCGCGGAATGCGCTCACCGTCGTCGGGCACACGCTCTGGAGGGGAAAGTGGTATTACCATATATTATAACAGGCGTTTCCGGGAACACTCAACAACTTCAGGAAAATAGCAGAAGTGTACCCACATTTTATAATGTAATATTTTAATTTTCTGGGTAGTTAATTATCCACTTGGCGTCAGTTTCAATAACAAGGTTTTTGTCAGCCTTGCCTAACTTCTCTTAAGTTCCAATGTGATTTAGTTTTGACATTTAGTTTTGACAATTGTTGTATTTTACATGAATTGCGTGCTACATCCTCAACTGTTCATCACATTGAGATCTCTCATGCTTACTCGAACAAACATTCTTCCTGTCATGAAATTTTAACTCCAAACGCAGAAGAACTGACTTCGTCTTTTCTCATTGATCCCATTCCCAACGATACCCGTATTTTGACTTAGCTACCTGATGCATTTTGACGCTTCCTTCGTTCCTGACAGCGAAGGACATACTTGGGGCTACACAATGACTCCCCTTGATTTAGAGTTCCCACAGTAAAGCACTAGATCCCTGAAGGATGTAGGGTAGCTGGAGTAGGGTAGATGATGGGGGGTGAATGTTTAGGGTGTGGATGGTTAGAGGGCGAGTGGAAGCTGACTCACTTTGAGATATGAGTAGAGGGGGATGGTCCCATTCCCGTTCACCTCCACTTTGCGGAAGAGGATGAAGTTCGGCACGAATCCCCCGCCGGGGCGGACGTGAACCACCCCGTTTATGATTTCCTTTCCGTCTCGACCTGGTTCTTGCTGTTCCAGAACGTAAACGATTTTTTTTAATTTTTGGAGATTCAATAGGTGTCTCAACTGAATAAACAAATAGTTCATTATTGAAATTAAAATGTGCTTTTCCTTAAAGTATTGAGCAATCTAGGCAAAGTTAGTTCCAAGTAAAATTCAAGTACCAACACATTTCGGGCGAATTTTTCAACAATTTCAGACAACCCGTCTGGACCTTCAGGTGTCCATTTATATCTTTCAGGCAATCCACCGGAAAAATTATCCAAGCATTAATGATCTGAAAGTGAGATTTACAAGGAAGGAAAATAAATTGCGAAGTGCGAAACTTGAAACAATACCCAAAATTCTGAAATTATAACGAGCATTAAAAAAAGTAATCTATCAATACTTTATTCCAGTACGGAATTATATTAATATTATTTAAAACCAAACATCGTTTTCAAGCCGGAGACAGGAAGAGTGCCCTGAAATCATTCACGAGACCGGGGACAATTCCTTCCAATGGAGGTCCATTAGGTAAATTGGGGAGCCACAGATTGGGGAGCCTTGGGGCTCCGGATCTGTGTAGAAAAAAAAAAGATTTTCCTAATACGTTTATTTTTCTGTATTCCTATATTTATTTTTCTACGTGTATCACTTATATTATTTCCAGGCATTGCTCATACCATTTCTACTTAGTATGCATATTATTTATAATAATTACTAGTAGCAGGTAATTCCGCTGCAATCTGGAGGAAACGAAGTTCTCTTTTGCCCTCGAAGGACAAACGTCTTTTGTAAACCATGTTCTTGAGAGACTGTGACCCAAGTCGCACCCGAACGTTAAATGCACATTCATTGAACACTTAATTTTTGGTATTGCCAACGTTCTATTGACCGCTTAAATGTACAAAACCCGATGCAAGCCATGACGAAAGATGACGTCATTCCGCCATTCTGAATTTTTGCATCTTGAGAGATGGACCCCCACGAGAAAGCTGCGGCGACGGCCTTCTCAGCGGAGCTCGCAAATGGCGACGAACGGACGAACCGCCCCGCATTTCACCCGAGCGACTTCATATCTCGATTCGCTCCTGCCGCCGGGAGGCACCGAAGCGAGCGACGGCCCCGCCCCCAGACGAGTCCCGCGTCAACTATCGATTCCTCACCCACCCTGCAGGCGGCGAGGCGAGAGAGCGGGTCCCGCCTCACCACGAAAGGTGCTTCCCCTCCACTTTCCGTGCGGCCTATCAGTCAACGAAGGATCGCAAAGGGTTCACCCCGGATAATAATGAAGATTTCTGCCAAAACCCTCCAGTTCTCCGGACCTCGGAGCGTTACGTAAAGCAGTCACACACGGATACAAACTTTTGTCGCTCAACGTAGCTAGCGGTCTGGATAGCGCACTCCATATGTTTAACCTCCGGACTAACGCTGCAATGCACCCGATGTTCTCTGTTGAGGAAATTATCTATATCTATTAGGAAGGATCTCTGTCTCTGTCCATCTGAAGCTATGCATTCGGACACCGTAGGAGATATCAACCTGAAACCTTCGCATGAGGGTGGGGTCTGTCCAGTAGCAGGTCATCGGGGGGTCGGGGTCAGGGGGGGCGGCTCCGGGGGAGGGTTGGAGGGGCGGCTCCGGGAGGGGGGTGTGGAGCACATCCTCCATGGGTTTTGGTCCGATTGACGTGAAACCTTTGCAGGTGGGTTGGGGACGAAGTTCCCCACAGTGGTATGTTATCGGGGTCGGGCGGGGGGGGGGGCAGCTCTGGGGGGGTGGCTAAGGGTCCCAACAAGGGTGTTCCAGGCCTACTAGGATGACGGGGACAACAGGTTGGAGTTCCACAGGTTCCCAGAACCGGTTTGGTGCACAAAAAGTCTGGCTTACACACACTGACAGTAATCACTCTCAAGAAATGAACAAAATTGGCTTGCTGAAAAATCAACAGAAATCACTGTCAAAAATAAAAATATATTGGTTCACCTTAGCTAACAGTAGTAAAACTGCCTGGCCTTTACTTATCAATTTCACTTGCATCCACAGTGAAGTTGGTAAGTTCCATAAGGTCCCCTTCAACAAAGCCAAGACACTTCAAGTCGTCTACAACTAACTTCAAGAAGCCACAAGTCAAGTACTGTTTGGCCAGGGTCAGTATTTGTCAGTGGCCAGGGTCAGTATTTGTCAATGGCCAGGGTCAGTATAGAGTCCCCTATAGAACCTATAGGGTTCCCCATAAGGCATATGTGTTCCCTATGAGACCCAAAGGGTTCTGTATAGGACCCAATGGGTTCCCTATAGGGCCTATAGGGTTCTCTATACGGCCTATAGGGTTCCCTATAGGGCTTATACGGCACGAGAGTAGGTTCAATGTCCCGACTACAAATAAGGTGGCCATCCTCATTGTTGGAAATGAGTTCAACAGTCGAGACATTGTCCTTCACAAGAGGACTCCTCCAGGGACATTCCCCATGTCCAGAATTTCAGAGACAAACTGTGCCTATGATCCTCTTCATTACCCACTTCTGTTTCCCAATGGGGAAGATGAATATCACTTTGCAATCATTCAAGGGCACAAGGTGACATCTCTGCAGTTCTGCCTTCAGAATGATGTACAGGGAGCAAGACTTTAACCACTTGCTCCGCTGTGGCCCTTTGTTCCATCAGTTTGTCGTCGACATGTATGCAAAAATCGAAAGTGAGCGGCTTACATACTTTAGTCTTAACCAGACAAAACTAGGGGTGGAAAATTATTAACATCTCCGAGTTGCCATGGCCAATGATGGTGATCCAGCCAATGTTGGCAGGCTGACCATCCTTCCCACCTCTCTCATTTTCAATGCCCACATCATTGTCGAGTTCTGCAACTCTGTCAAGGCAATGGGGTCTTTTCAGATGCAGCACTCGGTCGAGTATACACCATTCATCCCAACAGCTCAGAGTGTTTTTACTTGCGCCTTCTGCTGCACATTGTTATTGGGCCAACATGATTCAAACACCTTCGCACTGTCAATAACAAGCTCTGTGCCACTTTCCATGAGGCCTGCCAGAGGTTAGGTCTTCTGGAAAATGATAAGCATTGGGACTTGACTTTGCTGGAAGCAGCAGCAACACACGCAGTTTTTAAGCTCAGGAACCTCTTTTTGCGGTGATCCTCACAGCCTGCTTACCTATCAACCCAAGACAGCTGTGAGAGACTCATGAGTGGAGCATTACACAAGACATTCTTCATCGGTGCAGACAGATGGACCCAGTTCTGAATTTTACTGATGCCATGTACAATGAGGCTCTGATTTTCATTGAGGACAAAGTCATTAGCATGGTAGGCAAGACCATGCAACAGTTGCAGCTTGGGATGCCAGTGCCAGTTCGAGATGAGGCCAACCGGTTGAACAGGGATATGCTTCGTCAGACGCCTTATAACACTGACCAGTTGGCACGAACAGTTGCAATAATGGTCCCCAAGAACAGGTAAAACATTTCTGATCAACCTGCTTCTTGCCAAGATCCAGTCAGAGGAAAATATTGCACTTGATGTGGCTTCCTCTGGCATTGCTGCAACACTTTTGACTGGCGGCAGGACAGCCCACTCAGCTTTCAAGCTGCTATTGGATCTTCATCGAGCAGAGAACCCATTTTGCATCATCAGCAAAGGCACTGGTGTTGCTGAGGTCTTGCAGAGCTGCAAACTGATTGTGTGTGATGAGTGTACAATGTCCCACAAAGCTGCATTCGTGGCACTAGACCGCACTCTGCAAGACCTGAGGGGCAAGACTCAGTGCATGGGTGGGGTGATGTTGGTTCTCTCGGGAGACTTCCGACAGACATAGCCAGTCATTCCAAAGGGAACTGCAGCAGATGAGATAAAAGGCATATCTGAAGAAGTCTTCCCTGTGGACCAACGTCAGAAAGCTGAGCCTCACCACCAATCAGCGAGTGCGGCTTTTTTGGCGACACTGATGCAGGGGCCTTCTCATCTGCTCTGTTGAGACTTGGCAATGCAGACCATCCTGTCGAGCCAGATGGGCAGCTCATCATCCCTGCCTAAATTGCTAGAGTAGTCAAGACGATGACTCAGCTCCTGCAGAATGTCTTCCCCAACCTGCCTCAGCACTTTCAGAGCCCAGACCATGACACTTGGCTAAAGTGGCTCAGTGAAAGAGCCATTCTGGCACCTAAGAATGACACAGTTGGTGACATCAACAAACACCTCCTGGACAACTGCCTGGTCAGGAAAGGTGCTACAAGTCCATCGACACCACTGTTGAAACTGACCAGGCTGTACCCTACACGACAGAGTTCCTGAACTCTTTCCAACCACCGGGGATGTCACCTCACAACTTGATCCTGAATGTGAACACTCCAATCATGTTGCTGAGGAACCTTGATCCTCCAAGACTCTGCAATGGCACACGATTGTGTGTGAAAACCCTTCATCCTCATGTCATCGAGGCAAGGATCATGACTGGTTGTGGCAAAGGTGAGGATGTCTTCATTCCTCGCATCCCCATCATCCCCACTGATGTGCCATATGAGTTTCGAGAGATTCCAGTTCCCTGTCCGGCTGTCCTTTGCCATGACCATCAACAAGGCACAAGGCCAGTCACTCAAGGTGGCTGGTGTTGACTTAAGCACTCCCTGCTTTTCGCATGGCCAACTCCATGTGACCTGCTCACGGGTTGGGTCAAGCAAGAATCTCTTCTTCTTGCCCCCAATTCGAAAACCACCAATGTGGTTTGCCTACAAGCATTGCAGTGAATGATTGAGACACTTTAGAATGCAGAATTTTAGAATTTATAAATTATTTTTTCAGTGCAGTAAGAATATGTGTGAGAGAATGGACTTTAGTTTTTCCTGTGAAATAAGAATATCATTGAGAAACTCATTTAAGTTAGACTTTTGTGAAAGAAGAGCCCCTAAAAGGTAAGAATTAATTTAGAACAATTTTTAAAAAAAATACGAAGAAACAAAAATAAATAAAATGGCCAGAGCAGTGCTCCCGTTCCCGTCGGTCTGGCCGGACTTAGACAAAAAAGCACTAACAAAAAAGCACACAAAAGAACACTTTTGAATGGCGGCAGGACAGCCCACTCAGTTTTCAAGCTGCTATTGGATATTCATCGAGCAGAGAACCCATTTTGCAACATCAGCAAAGGCACACATACGTTTAAGGTGTGTGTCTAACCTCCGGAGGGAGGGTAGGCATCCTTGCATTTTCACGTGATCCCAATCCTGGGTGCCTCATCATCCAGAAGGAATGTTGCATGGGATGTTCATGGCGATGAAGTGTACCTGTGTGAGGTATTCAGGTAAGGTCCTGCTCCTTCATCTCTACCAGTTGTAGAGCAGTAAGAGGTCACAAAATATATAATGCTGTTGAAATTTTGTCTCCGTTTTTTTCCTGTACTTTTTCGCCATTGTGAAAGTCGGCCGATGGTTGGGGCATATGCGGTTTCCCAACAATGAGCCAAGGTTGGCCCAATGAAGGGCTAACAGGACATGCCCGACTATAAGCCGGCCTAAACCAACCGTGAGCCAACCATATAGCAACGATGGCCCAACTACTGCTTATATGCGCATCGGCGAAAAGCCATCGATGGCCCGACGAAAAATTTTTGACTGGGTGCTGCCGAAGGACAAGGCGTCCATGACTGGCCGCGCAGAGGTCTTGCATTTCTTGCACATAATTGCAATTTTTAAATTCTTTTTCGATGTCAAGTTTTTCAAATTTCATAATTTTCCAAAAATATTCAGTCAACATTTTAAATTGAATTTTCGGATTAAATTATTTTAAATCGTATTATGAACTAACTACGATTGCTAGAGTGTTACAAATCCCCAAAAACGTATGAAAATTTAAGGAGAAAGTAAGAAAATGATATAAAAATAAATCGAGAGAGTACTTGCCAGAACGGAGCAGGGAAGACCCCTGAGTCCACGCGTCT